CTGGAGAATACACTGTAAAACTAAAACCAGGTCTAAACCAGGACTAAACCAGGACTAAACCAGGTCTAAACCAGGTCTAAACCAGGTCTAAACCAGGTCTAAACCAGGACTAAACCAGGACTAAACCAGGTCTAAACCAGGACTAAACCAGGACTAAACCAGGTAAACTAAACCAGGTCTAAACCAGGACTAAACCAGGTCTAAACCAGGTCTAAACCAGGTCTAAACCAGGACTAAAACCAGGACTAGGAAACCAGGTAAACCAGGTCTAAACCAGGTCTAAACCAGGACTAAACCAGGTCTAAACCAGGTCTAAACCAGGACTCTAAACCAGGTCTAAACCAGTCTAAACCAGGACTAAACCAGGTCTAAAACCAGGTCTAAACCAGGACTAAAACCAGGTCTAAAACCAGGTCTAAACATGATCTAAATCAGGTCTAAAACCAGGTCTAAACCAGGTCTAAAACCAGGTCTAAACCAGGTCTAAACCAGGAAACTAAACCAGGTCTAAACCAGGTCTAAACCAGGTCTAAACCAGGACTAAACCAGGACTAAACAGGTCTAAACCAGGACTAAACCAGGACTAAACCCAGGTCTAAACCAGGACTAAACCAGAAAAACCAGGACTAAAACCAAACCAGGTCTAAAACCAGGTCTAAACCAGGTCTAAACCAGGACTAAACCAGGTCTAAACCAGGTCTAAACATGGTCTAAACCAGGTCTAAACCAGGTCTAAACCAGGTCTAAACCAGGTCTAAACCAGGTCAAACCAGGTCTAAACCAGGTCTAAACAGGTCTAAACCAGGTCTAAACAGGTCTAAACCAGGTAAACCAGGTCTAAACCAGGTCTAAACATGGTCTAAATCAGGTCTAAACAGACTAAAACCAGGTCTAAAACAGGTCTAAACCAGGAGGTCTAAACCAGGTCTAAACATGGTCTAAACAGGTCTAAACAGGTCTAAACTAAAACCAGGTCTAAACCAGGTCTAAACCAGGTCTAAACATGGTCTAAAACCAGGTCTAAACAGGTCTAAAACATGGTCTAAACCAGGACTAAACATGGTCTAACATGGTCTAAACATGGTCTAAACATGGTCTAAACCAGGTCTAAACATGGTCTAAACATGGTCTAAACAGGTCTAAAAGGTCTAAACCAGGTCTAAACAGGTCTAAACCAGGTCTTGTTTCTGGTGTCTTGTTTTATGTGACAGATAAATCTTCAGACAAACCGAAGGCTCTGAAAAGTCCCAAAGGATTCGACAACAGCATCATCAGCAAAACCTACTACAACGTGGTGAGTGTCACAGGGTCGAGCCTCGCCCCACCGCCGCCAGGTCACGGGGTCGAGCCTGCGCCGCCAGGTCCCGGGTCGAGCCTCGCCCCGCCGCCAGGTCCCGGGGTCGAGCCTCGCCCCACCGCCGCCAGGTCCGGGGTCGAGCCTCGCCCCACCGCGCCAGGTCCCGGGGTCGAGCCTCGCCCCGCCGCCGCCAGGTCACGGGGTCGAGCCTCGCCCCACCGCCGCCAGGTCACGGGGTCGAGCCTCGCCCCACCGCCGCCAGGTCACGGGGTCGAGCCTCGCCCCACCGCCGCCAGGTCACGGGGTCGAGCCTCGCCCCACCGCCGCCAGGTCCCCGGTCTGAGTCCCCGTGAGTCTCAGATCTGACCCGTGGACTCAGCCGAGAACCACACAGAACACAGAACACTTTTACACACAATCAAACTCAAGATTTATTTAGTTTTTCACTCAAACTCGTGGGAATCAAACCGGAGACCCTGTGGCTGTGAGCGTCTGACTGCACCGACTGCACCACCTCCATCCCTCCGTCCTGTCATCCCCTCATCCCCTCATCCCCTCATCCCTGTTGTTTAAAGCGTCGACGTGTTAAACTGTGACTCGGTGTCGGTTTAATGTGGGTTATATTTTCCATTTCACTGATTTCTGGGGCAAACTCATCCCCCCATCTGCATCCCTCCGTCTGTACATCCCTCCATCCCTCTATCCATCCACCCCTCTACATCCCTCCATCTCTTTGTCTCTCCATCTCTACATGTCTACTTCTTTCCATCTCTGTATCCATCCACCCCACTACATCCCTCCATCTCTTTGTCTCTCTATCCTTCCCCCTCTTCATCCCCCCATCTGCATCCCTTCGTCTCTGCATCCCTCCATCTCTTTGTATCTCTATCCTTCCCCCCTCTGCATCCATCACCCCCATCTCCATCTTTACATCTCTGCATCCCTCCATCTCTCCATCCATCCCCCTCTGCATCTCTCTATCTCTCCATCCCTCCATCTCTCTATCTCTCCATCCATCTCTCCATCCCCCCCTCTGCATCTCTCATCCTCTATCTCTCTATCCTCCATCCTCCATCTCTCTCCATCCACCCCCCTCTGTCTCTCTATCTCTACATCCTCCATCTCTCTATCTCTCCATCCCTCCATCCATCTCTCCATCCACCCCCCTCTGCATCTCTCTATCTCTCCATCCCTCCATCCATC